GCAGATACCCTGAAAGATACCAGCTTAGACGTTGGTGGGACGAAAACCTTTAAATCCTTGATTTTTGTCCCTCAAGGTACGGGAGTCCCCTCCCCTGTCCCTTGAGATTCTTGACCATGCAGTATATGTCAGCTGTGTTGTAGTTTGTTCATGCCATTTGTAGTCAGCTTGTTGTCGGGATTGTGTCGGATTCTGTATCAGCTTATAGTCGGCTTGAGCTGTCATCAATATTTGGCTTATAGCATTATTGACATTTTTCATTCTTCTTCCATATAAAGAAACCCAAACAGATACGGCAATATTTCGTTTAAACTTTAAATACTGCGAGCGATTCTTCTCCGTTGATATAGTAATCCCAAAACTCGATAAAAAAACTCGTTCAAGGGTCATAGTTGCACGTGACTAAAACTGCATGTTCCGAAAAACAAATACTCGTCTGAAAACGCAAGAAGTTTGGAGGAACATCCAGTTTCCAAGGGCAACATCACAGAAAAATTACCCCGAGATTTAAATTGCACAGTGGTTTTAATTACACAACAATAAAGTTTTCTTTCTGAAACGGCCGTCTCCACGTTGCATTCACTGGCATGAGCACTGGGTAGTCCTATATACGCGTTGCGTGATCGACTCTCGACGAAAAAGAGAGGAGGAAAACTTTCTGTTGAATTAGAAATTTTGATATCAATTGGCATAACTTTTGATATCAGTTTTTTACACTAATCGATGTGTAAATAGACCTTGACTTCTTCAAACGTTTTATCGAAAGTTTTTTAAATCAGCCAATGTGATTTTCAATGCTACCTAGGGATACTGTGGAAACCTATCATGCCTCTGAAAGTATGCAATAAGTCTTGGAAAAGATCCGAAAAAAAGGTTTTTCCACGGAGACACGTCAGCCGGTACTAGTACGAAGAAGATGCGGCGTTGTCTTCGACGTTTTGTATTTAGGAATCGTAAAGCACATCTTGCATTACTTTTTTTCTCTGTTTTCTCTTTTATCGTTTTCTTTGAATTCCATGACTCGCAGGAGAATTATCAGACAAACAGAGGTAAGCATATATTATTTTGACTCACAACTTTATCAACTTGATCTTTTATTTTTCACACTGTGCAGAGTGCAAACTATATAGAGTGCAGTCATTAAACCCGTGAAACAACACTTTATGCGACCATTTAAGGCCCCGTCCACACTAGAGCGTTTTCGTTTGAAAACGAATCGAAAAGTATGCGTTTTGCCCTTCTGTCCACACTAATACGCTCGAAAACGCTGAGCGTTTTCATCGAAAACGGATCCTTTTGAAAACGCTGTTGAAAGTGAATCGTTTTGAAAACGATACGGCATCCCGGTCAGTGTGGACAGTGACTAAAACGATTCCTTTTGAAAACGATGACGTCATGGATATGGATATGCACATTTAAGCGATTAAGTTTTTCTTTCTAAATGCGAACTTTGATTCTAAACTTCTCTGACACGCCCGCTTATATTTCTTTTTATTATATACATATCGATGAGTTACCAGGTTTTCTCTAGTTGTGAAAATGCAATATTTTGAACCATGAAAAGATGTATCTTATATATATATAATATATAGATATAATCTACGAGTGTTGATCAAGATCACATACTGGAAAATAACATCTTTTCGAAGAGAGAAACATATATACTAGGTATTTCATARATAATCATATGGTTAAAACATTTATTACTGATGAAAATGAGTCGTTGTTGATGTTGTCTGTGTTTATTTCTACAATGATCTCCTGCAATGATTTCATGTTAAAACGC